CCGCTTCCCTTTTTTTCATCGACTCGCTAGCGATCAGTTCTTTGAGCACCCGCCTAAATCGACTCTCTTTCTTTTTTAATTATTATTTGCTAACGGTGAGTGAAGGTAAAATAAACTTATTAGTTCCTTAAATACTTTGAAAACGTTAAAACCACTCGTGCACACTGTTACGGGATAGGCAATCATCGCCATAAACTTGTTTCATCAATTGAAACGTTTCCGTAAAAGTTTTACCAATTTTAAAACAAAATTTAATGTTGACTCTTTGTTCGAAGCTCATTTTCGCACCGATGACAAAAACATACTGACCCTTAAAACGCAATAACTTCACTTCCAATATATGAAATGTCATGAAATTTTTACTGGAAGTCGATAAAGGATAGCAGATTCTAACAGACTAGTCGATATATAGATGGCGCCACTAGAGTTTACTTTGGAACGCACCTTGTATATGATATGAAATGTATATGTTTTATTAAACATAATGTGAGTTTGCGCTGAATAGGAATGTAATAGGTCTAGACCGTAGTTGAAGCAAATAGCGTAAATGAACCAGAAGGTGCAAATTTATTTTGAATGATGCTCGATTGGACGTCTAACAGAGTTGAAAAACTCTGAGCAGGGAATTCACAATGAAATGAGAATTTATAACGTTCTCTGGCAGAAATACGTATCTACCAACATAACGGTAAAAATTAAATATTTTGAACAAAAAATAGAAATGTACTTCACATATGTGTGATTATTTTTTGTCACATAAATGATTTTACCTTCATCGTAAAAGGTACGTAACAGTATCAAAAAAAGTAACAATTACAACACCATATGGCAAAAAACAGTACCAGTAAGTGTTGAAATACTGTTTTAAGTATTTGCAAATGCACAGATGGTTTGGCGCTTAATTATACTCTTTCAACATGTTGCTACTGAGTAGTTTTGTTCACCTAACTGTTGTTGCTATCACTTAAAACTATTAGAGATAGATATCGAGTTATACGCTGTCTTCGATTGGCCAAGCGATACTCACCAGCGAATCGAGCAAACTATTCCAGATTATCAAACAAATGGGCAGCATTTGTGGTGCAACTCTTCGCTAACATGTCTTCTGACGCATCCAATAGTGTTCTATAATTTATTTTAAGTTTTATGTTTCAAAAATTCAAGAAAAAAAGAAATTTGGTCTTTTCATTTGTCATTTGAACTATTCACAATAGTAAAACTGATCTATAATATGCAAAACCAAACGTGGTAGCATTGAAGATAGCGCTTATACCACTTTAACGAGGTATCCTCTTAGCTCTTGTACTAATTCAACTTGATAACTTTGTTGTTGCTTTTGCATATAATTTTTTTGACAAGAAAGCACAAGGGAGCAGAAAAATGGCGAATCAAAGACAGCTATATATATACACTAGCTCTCATAAATCTACGCTTCTTTGCAACATACACATAGCCAATAAAGTCTGCGTTCACCCGACACATTTTTTTAAGTGAAGTAAAAACACAATGTTAATAGGTAATTCAGTTCAAATTTTCTGCATGTACTTATTTCTTCTTTACATTCTTAAGTTCAAAATGCAAAAACAAAAATGTATATTCCTATTTTCATTTTTGTGATAACGGGATTTTAGTGTAAGAACAAGTAAACATAGGCACCATTAAGTCTGCGTTTAGTTAGCTTGAATTGGAAATACCGTTACTTCTCATGAATTTGTTCGTTCTTTTTGTGTAGATTCTATTGTGTTTTAATATAAATAGTCGTTTAAAGAGCTCGTGACGGGTTTTAATAATATTTAAAAAAAAATGGAAACCAAAGGAAAAAAATTAGTCTGTCTGAAAGAAAAATTATCATTAAGTTGTGGAAAGATGGCGAAAGTTTCAGAAAAATTGAGCAAACTATTGGAAGAACGTATTCTTCTGTCCAGCGCGTCGTAAAAAAATTAAAAAAAAAAACGGAATTTTAACGTCAAAACCGCGATCTGGCCGTCCAAAAATATTATCAGCCCGGGAAGAACGGAAAATAATAAATATGGTGAAATTTAACCCTAGAATTACGTCTAAAAAGATTACTGAAAACATAAATAAATATAACCATTAAAAAAACAATTTGTGCAGAAACTGCTAGAAAAACTTTACGAAAAGCTGGATATCATGGTAGAGTCGCTCGAAAGAAACTATATATTTCACTTGTAAACAGGCGAAAGCGCATTGAATTTGCTCATAATTATATAAATAAGTCGCCGGAATTCTGGAGACAAGTAATATTTTCGGATGAAAGTAAATTTTGCATTTTTGGCATAAAAGGTCGACAAATTGTGTGGCGCAAGTCAGAAACTGCCCTTGAAAATCTTGTTAATACAGTTAAACACGTAGGTGGCGGAATTATGGTGTCGGGTTGCATGGCGGCTGGTGGTGTGGGTCAGCTTGAATTTATTGAATCCACAATGGATAAATGGGGTTATTTCAACATTTTAAAAAAGAATTTGAAACAAAGTGCAGAGAATCTTGGATTATTATATGTATATAAAAAATTTCAGTTATTAAAGCAATTATTTTTAAGATTTAAAGCCTTAAACATTTACGTTGCAAAGGAGCGTAGACTTATGAGGGCTAGTGTATACAAAAGATCAGAATGACGAGACGAGTTGAATTCCGAATGACCGACTATCTGTCCGTCCGTCTGTTCTTGGTATACGGGTTCCTTGGCACTGAAGGAGGGTTGGTATTGCAGATGGACGGAATCAGACCATTGCCAGGGCCCCAAAACGCCATTAATCGAAAACCTAACTTAGTACAACGAATTGCATTATTGAGCTGCATCTATGCTTTAAACTTTTTTAAAAAGTAATAGGTTTAATGTACATATCTCCAAGCCGCCTAATAACCAAATTCGCTCAGGACAAATCCTTTTAGCACCTCTGCCAACAGACTGAAAAAGGGTAGAGTCGGATTATAACACCGGCCTCTGCCCATATAATGGTTTGGTTGAAATCTACTAAGAGCGCGATAAAATAATAACGAAATGCTTCAAAGACATAAATTTTACACCTGAGATGGTAGGAGAGGATTTTATAGGAGCTGGTGTCAAATTTAAACGGTGAGCGTGGCGCCGTCCACCTTAAGGTGAAAACCCATATCTCGGGACCGACCTAGTCGTCCGATTTTAACCAAATCGGTAGATAATAGTATCTTAACATTCCCATATTACACAATTTTAAATTCCATCTGATTCGTTCACTTTTCAGTATACAAATCAATAACCCATCGATGAATCCGGATAAAACTTTGTACGAGTGCCTTTAAGGTGTGCTACATAATATCCAAAAATTGTGGAAATTGGACTATAACTGTTCAAGCCCCCAGATAGCGAATATGTGAACCCTCGTTCGTATTGGGATCTTTTGTTTCAAAAATATCGGTCAATCTGTGAGATTTTCTGATGGTAGTATGTCTGTATGTCAAAAATGGGTTAAATCGGATCAATAAATAATTTCCTTAGCCCCCATATACCTAACAGAAAGATTTTCGAACATAGCATAACATTTTGCTTCTTTACATTTCCGTTTAGATCAAAATGAGCCTCATCAGACATAAACAGGCAATTTATCAAGTTACTGTCTTCGGCATTTCCATAATTTTTTGGCAAAATTCCATGCGAATTGGCAAATCTAGAAGGATGAATAGGATGGATAGAAGGAAGTCATGATGAATTATCCGTTGTAATGACCGTCTGCTAACTCCAAGTTGCGTCGATAAGATTCGAGTCGAAACTCCTAGATTTGTCTGAATTGACGATGCAACCGCCGCGATTGTTTCTTGATCACGACATACGAATCTAGATGGTACGATTTTCTTACGATTCTTCTAGATTCGGCAAACCTGTCTACCAACCTCATAATGGTCCATCTACTGGAGAAAGTGCCGCCAAAATCCCGTTTGAAATCCCTTTAGTCGGAAATGACGGACTGCAAACCAAACCCTTTTTTCGGTATCCCAAGCATTCATTTTTAAAAAATTTAAATAATAGCCTGCCAAATAAAAAAAAGAGTAAGTCCTTTACTCACAGCGAAAAAAGTTACTACAGTTTGTTTCTGTAGCGTGAGCCACCATATATTTTTTCTGTGAATTTCCTTTAATATTTATACCAAATAATTCACAAGGAGTAATAATAGTATAGTATTTCCCAAACGAATTATAATAATAACCCAACCATTACCCTCCTCCCGCCCAACCGACGCGAGGGGCGCAATCCGTATACGTGCGGAATTAGCCGAGTCAGAAAAGGCAAGAGAGTTTTTTAAGTGTTAAGATCTAAACCTGCTCAGCTACAGAAACAAAAATTTCAACAGCACAACATTTAAAGTTACAATATAATAAATTGTTACATTTTCATTTATTAAGAGAAAACAATAAAGTCTTTTTAATTTTGAAAAGTGAGTCAAATAAGTCAAATGTGCTGGAATGAGAATTAAAATCATTACATATACGGCGGAGTGGCTCGTTTAGTTCAAAATTTGATCTACAGGATTTTAGCAGTAAAGGTTAGTAAAGGCCTCGAAAGGCGAACAGGGATATTAAATGTAACTTCAGACAGGAGAAAAGAACAGCAAACTGTTCCATTCAAAATTTACACTAAGAATATTATGCCAAGCATTTCCCTACGACTAGAAAGTATAGGTGGATTAATAAGTTTTAAACGACTAGTGTATGGAGGTAGACTTACCCTAGAATCCCATCGGAAATGCGCTAAGGCGAAAAGTAAAAATTGTTTTTGAACAGACTCTAACTTGTGAGAATGGATTTGGTAGCTAGGGTTCCATACAACAGAGCCATATTCCAATATAGGTCTAACCAAAGTTGTATATATAATGAATACATTTTTACAAATGCATGAAGTTTCTGCGAACTACTATTTTTTACGTAAATACCATATAAACATAGAATGTCTGATATGTGATATATCTAATTATTTGTATTATTTCAAAATTTATTCAATATAGGTTTAATATCAGTCCTGAAACTATTATTTTATACGGCCAAAGTATTGGTACAGTCCCAACAGTTGATTTGGCAACAAAGCATGAAGTTGGAGCAGTAATTCTTCATTCTCCATTGATGTCTGGACTAAGAGTAGTTTTCCGTAACACAAAGAGAACGTGGTTTTTCGATGCATTTCCAAGGTATGCGCACTCGATGGATACATACATATGTGTTTATTAAAAATATATATTTTTTTCAGTATTGATAAAGTTTCCAAAGTCAAATCACCAGTTTTAGTAATACATGGAACTGACGATGAGGTTATAGATTTTTCCCACGGGATAGGTATTTATGAACGCTGTCCCAAAGCCGTTGAACCTTTGTGGGTTGAGGTGAGAATATGTTTTTGTATACACCACTAAATAAAACAAATTATATGACACATCGGTTATTAACTATTAAGTATAAATATTTGTACAAATTTATAATACAAAAGTAATATACTTGTATAGTGAATATGGACTTTATAGATACTTCTATATTAAATGTTTGAGTTTAACTCGTATTCACAAAATATATACAAGTATATATGACTAACATAATTAAAATTTTTAATTAACTAGATATGTATATTACACTTCCGAAATATGTATAGCATACAAGAATCCATAATACGATTTTTTCGTTTTATACAATATGTTTAATACGTAATAACTTTCTTATTGTGTTTCCAGATACCGTTTTATGTATTTGTTTAATTGGAACATGTAAGGAAGGGCTAAGTTCGGGTGTAACCGAACATTTTATACTCTTGTAACTTGAAAGAATCAAAGCCCGGGGAATTCCTTCAGGTGATAGCAAAATTTTATATTAAAAATCGAATTAAACATCGATTATACGATACAATCGTGCATAAATTACAATCAAATTTGGTATCTAAACTTAGACTTAGTGTTATTGCTGTATATTAGTTCGCGTCAGCTAAAATTATATAAAAAACACCTTTAAATGAGATATATGTATGTGATATTAAGATAAGTGAGAGAGATATTTAATATCATCGGAATTTATTGTATTAGGGATATGAGGTTTAGACCAATTCCATTCTAATTCAGCGCTAAACCACATAATATCTTAGAAAACTTGTACACTTAATTTCATTAAAAAATCACACATTTGGACCAACCTAAACTGTTAAAAGACAGGTGAAAAGACGCAAATTATTTTACGGGGTATATTGGTGATAGAGAAAAGGACGGACAGATTGCATTAATTTTGACATCGGTCAGGTATAATAGAGAACATATTTTGAAGCATTTTTATATATAAATAATACTCACTGACCTACATATTCAGCCTAAAACTTGTTATAATAACGAAAATCATTATATGTAGTATATGGGTGTTGGGGGTAGTATTGACCCGATTTTATCATTATTTGCCAATACCACGTATCACTAACATGTCACAGACTAATAAAATGCTCCCAGGGTTTCCTTCAGGTACCTCACATACCATCACCAATCATATGGAGTAAAGACAACCGGATGTTTGAAAATACTGATATTAGTTATGTGGGGGCTAGGTCAAGCTTTCGCCTTTTAGGCACAAAGATATACTGTTATGAGTAAAATATGCTCTCTAATTTTCATTGATATAACTCACATATTGGCCGATATATGCGGTATTAAGTAACCCGGAAGTTCAAAAATCCTTATATACGGTATAAGAGTCCTATAGGAAGTATTGATTCGATTCCACTCATTTTTGACACACAAACATACACTATCAGAAAAGTATTGTCTCCGAATTCCAATTATATATTTCACATATTGGCCGATATTTTCGGTAAAAAGTCAACTATATGTACTGCCCAGTTTCAAGCATAGATGTGAATGTGACGGACGTTGAGTATATACGGTAAAGCATGCTTTGACAAAATATATTTCGTCGCAGTTTACAGCGTGTTCACATCAATATGTTTACAGTGAATTTATAGAGTGAAACAACACCGATACAGATCGGTACAGTTGAATAAGGTTAATATAAAAATGTTGATCACTTTCTGGGATGTTTACTCGTCAAAAATAAAGAAGTTTATGCTTGACGAAATACATATCACACATATCAAAGTATCTAACGACCATTAACGAAGCGTCAAGCAATATCAAAAAAATTATGATATTTGATAAACTGGTATCTGCAAATCGCTGGCATGTTATTCAGCCAGTTCGTTCCCGGCACCGAGATAAGGTGAACTTCGGTTGTAGACTGATAGGCTGTTAAGCATCAGCGATAGTTATACTGCAAGTTTATTTCTACACACTTGGTTATAGCAAAGACTTCTGCGTGAAAGATGCTCGGAATGCGGTTCCTGCATCGATGCTTTACGGCCTTCCTAAAGAAGTCTGCCTTGCTTTCGGTGCTTATACTCGTACATCAACCTGATGGCTCCTGGCTTACAGCTCCAGGATTTTACCGGCCAACGTTCACATACGATGAGTGCTTTTGTGGTTAAAGAGTTAGTTTCACATGCTTGTTCCACCGAATGGTAGAAACTCAGATATTTGGATATTTGACCTCTTTAGTCATTACTAATTCTGAACCGTCAAGGGGGTTGTGGTCTTATATATCGCAGAGAGTGTGTTCATATTTACCTCTTGCTAATATAACAATGCCGTCAGCATAACCTTGACATCGAATCCGATTGTTAGTTAGCAGTTCGAGGAGCTCGTCTACGACTTTATTGAGTCTGTAGTAAACAATTTCGTTGATTTTTCGCTATTAAATGATAATTTTTAAACGCTTTGCAATTGTACTAGTATATAGAAAAAGAAAAGGATACTAACAAACAATTCAACTCTCATTATTAAGTAGTAAAATATTTTGAAGTTAAATGTCAAAGAAATGCATTTGTTGCTACTGTTGTCTAGTTCGGAAGAATTTTTGCACTTCAAGCTGTTTTTTCGCCCAACAGCTCCTCATCATCTTGGTATCTAAGTCTCAGTTTGGGAGAGATCACGGTATAAATCAGCAGGTGTAATGTACCAAGGAGAATTAACCAAGCTTTTTAGTGCAGTGAATAAATGCCTGGGCACTGTCCAATCGATAGGATATGGCTTGTCCATGACCGGTGGAGTTTGGTCGTCCTGTACTGCCTCCGGGAAATTCGAGCCTTGTGCAGTTTGGCTGCTAAACCACCCATCTTTTATTTAACTACAGAGCAGCCCTAATGACATCAAAACTACTCTCAGCACGATCCATATGAATTTTTTTAATTTGGTATGGAGGGCTCTGCACTCTTCATTTTGAGATCATTCTAACCGCAAGATCGTACTTGTGACGAACGTGGTGGGTTCACATCTTACGTTCTCCATAGATCACTACTGATATTAAGTTCAAGCAGAGACTCATCCCTCGCCCTGCCTTATATCTTTAGTGGTCCACATGAGTTGATATAAGGGGGCGTGAACAAATAGGGCTATGCAAAATGGTTCAAAACAACAATGCAAGCCTTGGGTCTCTCACTTGTGAGGTCCCTGATTTGCCCTTATGTTGAGGCTCCTGACCCCTCAATATACCCGCAGTGCCTGAAGCAGTAGGATGCCAAGGTCAAACGAGAGGAATAGCTCCTACGTGGAGGGTAGCACCCCATCTCGTTTGCGTGGAGGCGCGGTAGGAGAACCACCTTCAGATGGCGGTATTCTCGTCCTTATATTTAACCCACGCATCCATATCCCTTATAAATATTGTTTTTGGATCTCACTGAAGCAGGAGATGCATTCGGGTTTCTGTCCATATCACAGTTTAGAGAGAGTTTTTCTACCTCTTCGGAAGATTTGCCTGGTGGTACCATATAAAACTGGCACCGTTCATTCCTACCCTGCCGAACCGTCAGGGCAACCGGTACACCCATCTTCAGGTTAAGAGGGCAGTCTGTCTCCTCTCTTCCTCTCCTTTTTACGAAAACCCCCGTTACTGACCCGTTGCGATTCATCCGCTTCCTAGCATCGTAACAGAAAAGGATAGTTGCTGTCTTGAGAATGTCGCTGCATAAGGGCAGTACAACATTAAATAGCGCGCGCTCCTCTGACGATAGCGCGTCCAAGAAGCTAAGGATTTCGCTTACACCTAGTCCGCTCGCACCTGTATCAGAGTTTTTGTTATCTTGTTGTCGGTTTTATTGTTGTTGTCAAGTCTCAGCTTTCTTAGAAGAACACAAAGGTCCGCGGTGCCAGAACCCCATGTCATGGTAAGGCCACTGTTACTTCCCAAGGCACTCCGGTGTTGGGAAGGCTCTGTTCGGATACAACCGAATTTGCTGTCTGTCTGCAAATCACCCAATGGGCACGGGAATCGCATAACACCCTGGATTAGAAGGTGGCATATATTGGCCGTCGTACACATGCGACATTTTGCATCCCATATGAAGAGTGCAAAACAGAACCACTCACACTGGTTGGTAGAGACCAAATTGCGTTGCGAAAAAAATCAGATCGGATCACTAAAATATATATATAGCTGCCATAATAACTGATCGCATTACAACTTCAGAAGGGCTAAGTTTGCGTATACCCGAACATTTTATACATTTGGAATTAGCAGGGATCAAAGGTGGGAAATATTTCCAGATGTTGGCAAACTTTATATATAACAAGTAAGGAAGCAGCGGTTTTACTCTCACAATTTGCGCGGTTCAGAGACGGCGAAATATTTTCAGGTGGTGGCAAAATTTTATATTAAATTAAAGTTAAAAATTTGCAAATGAATTAAAAATCCATTATTAGACTAAAACGTGGCTGGATTGCAATTTAATTTGACATCTTATTAACTTATATTATAGGTCGTAAGATCTCTTTGTTTCATTACGACATTTTGCTTTATATTAGTATTAAATTCAATTAAAGTAACTCAAATGAGATATATGTGATAAATTTTTGATGACTCGTTCGAGCATTTCGACTGGTAACCTCAGTCGAAGCGGGATTGTACGCATAGAATTTAGATTTTACATATCCCCACAGGAAAAAGTCTAACGGTGTGATATCACGATCTTGGTGGCCAATCCACCGGCCCAAAACGTGAAATTATCTGCTCACCGAAGTGTTCTCTCAATAAATCCATTGAATGATGCGATGTGTGGGAAGTGGAGCCGTCTTGTTGAAACCAAATGTCGCCGAGATCACGAGCTTTAATTTCAGGCATTATATAGTAGGTTATCATGGCGTGATAAGGGCCGCCATTGAAGGTTATTTTCTCACCGTCATCATTTTTGAAGAAATAAGGACCGATGATTCCACCGGCCCACAAACCACTCTTAACCATTGTTTTTTGTGGATGAATGGGCAGCTCTTGAATCTCTTCAGGTTGCTTTTCGTCTCAAATGTTTGCATACATATTGAGCCAGAAATGGGCCTAATCGCTGAACAAGAGCCCATAGAGCGAAGCGATGTCGCTTGGGATGATCCAGCGTCTTCAGTTCTTGCACGAGCAGTATTTTGCATGCTTTCAATTTAAAATCTCAACGTAAAATGCGCCAAGTCGTTCTATACGTCAGTCCGAATTGCTGTGAACGGCGCCGAATCGACTCTCCACGGTCTTTGTGTACACTCTCAGCTAAGGCCGCTATATTTTCTTCACTGCGTGCTGGACGTGCTCTATTCGGTCGAATATTATGCAATGGTGTTGCACAGAGTACGCTCAGTAGGCCGATTATGTTGTCCATAAGTTGAGCGAAGCGCGCGAAACACATTCTTTACAGAACGTG